AAGAGGGAAATTCTGAGTGATACGATGGAATTAGGGAGCAAGGAGGGGCGAAAGCAAAACCAGCCATTTCCACTGGGCTGGGGTCAGAAGCACCTGAGCCCACTGTGGTTAGAACCGGAGTTGGGGTCAAGATTAAACTTGTCAAAAGTAAATGTTGGGTTTTTAATAGGGCAGCATGGTATAATGGATAAAAACAAACTAACATTGGTTAAGATTCTGAAGGCCTCTGTCTTGCTGTATAACCTTGGGAAGGCCATGTCTTTGGAGCTCAACATTTTCAAATACAAAATGACCCTAGAATTAAAAGGAAATACACAGGTGACTTGGCAGAAAGTGTGATTTTTCGCCTGGAGTTGAGGTTAAGCTTGCGTCAGGATTGAAGACCTCCAAAGGAGAACTTGTAGCAGTCATTCCCGAATGTGGAAGTCCAAACCCTTCCGTTGCAGAATCTGGGAATTTTTTTCTCCTCCTGATTTTCCTCTTCCCACTTTTTCTTACCAGTTAGATGTTTGGAAGTTTTCATTGACCCCTGGGAGCATCCTGGTAACTTGGGGTCAGCTATGAGGGTCCTTTGGGGCTGAATGGAGACTGGAGACCTCGCCTTCATCTTCCAAGTTGCCGTAGGAGATAGTCCCATGTTCTGCGGCAAAGGGACAGAGAAGAGCTTCATCAGGGACAGTTCTTTCATGGGAAGTCCCATTTTCCATCCCTAGAATCCCTTACCTTTCTTTTCTAAGCCCATTTCTGCTTTAAAATGTATCATTTTTGCTATAAAATATATTTTTAATTGCAAGTAATACATAAGTGTATACTTGTTGCAAAATATATTTTTTTTTCTTTCAAATCATTTAAATAACCTGGCAGTGAGTCAAAATATGAAAAGAAGATTCAAGCTTGCTCCCTTTAAGGGGGGTACTGCCATGATTGCCTTGCACAAGCGTTACCAAAGGCAATGATGACACCAGATTCCAAAGAGCATGGTGGTTAAGAAGGCTTCAAGGCTCACAGACTGAAGAGCTTGGTTTTGGAACGTTTCAGAGGGGTAGCAGGAGACAGGAGAGACATCAAATTCAAGGACCCCTGAAAGGATAGGACTGGGTTTCTGGGTCATCAGCACCTTGAAATGTTTCTTGACATGATTCAGTGTGGAGAGTATTTGTCGCCTGGGGAGAACCGAGCAGGATGGGCTGAGCAGATAGTATGTTGTCCCAAAAGGTCAAACCTCTTTAGGACATGGACCCAGTCTCCCTGTTGTTCAGGTAATACTGGAAAAACAAGATCACACTGAAGCCAGAGTTTCCTATTCTGTCTGCAGCTCAGTCTCTGTTACAAAATATTTAAATACAGAAAACTTTATAACCCCATTCCTTTCTCACTCACCTCCCCGTATATTTTGCACTTAAAAAATAAAAAGCAGCCCTAGCCAGCTTTGCCCAGTGGATAGGGCATCAGCCTGCAGACTGAAGGGTCCCAGGTTCGGTTCCGGCCAAGGGCACATGCCTGGGTTTCGGGTTCGATCCCCAGTGTGGGCATGCAGGAGGCAGCCAATCAATGATTCTCTCTCATCATTGATGTTTCTATCTCTCTCTCTCCTTTTCCCTTCCTCTCTGAAATCAATAAAGAAATACTTTTTAAAAAAAAAAAAGCATAAATAGGATTTAATATCCGTGTTGTTCAGTAATTTTTTTTCTTTTTCTTTTTCTGTTAATCCTCATCCGAGGATATTTTTTCCCATTGATTTTTAGAGAGAGTGGAAGGGTGGCGGAAAGACACACAGAGAGAAACCTCAATGTAAGAGAGACACATTGGTTGATTGCCTCCTACATGCACCCGACCAGGGATCGAGCCTGCAACCAAAGTAGATGCTCTTGACCAGGAATCGAACCCAAAACCCTTTGGTCTGAGGGCCGCTCTAACCACTGAGTAAAACTGGCCAGGGCTTTTTTTTTTTTTCTTAATAACATGTCTTGGTTATCTTTCCATGATGCCATTTGTATATGTGCCACTTTTCTTTTAACTGTTGCATAGTATTGTTTTTAGTCTTTTTTTTTCTTCTTATATCCAGTGGAGTCTGGTCTTTAAGTTCCCTATACACTCCCTTATTCCTCTGTCCCTACCCCATATACATCCCTAGTGGTTGGGAAGAGAGGAATGAGGTTCTCCTCTAAGTGAACTTTGACCTGAGATTTCTGACCTGGGCAAGGATCCTACTGTCATATGTATTTCCCTTTTTATTACAGGCGAAGGGCCATCCTGCCTGGAGCAGGGGCAGAGATGACTCAGTCCTTAGATGCAGTGCCATTTCTAATC